CAGGCTACGGAGGGACCCCAAGTACAGGGGTTACCGCCCAGCATTGGTCGACGAAGTCGGAGGGTATTCATCGGAGCGACAAAGGGAGTGTCACCGTCACAGAGCTTGGCCTCCTAAAAAAAGAACAGTATTACAGTGAAGCCCTTGAAATACACTAACCCAACAATTTCTTGCTATGAGATTGAAAAGACTTGTACTTCTACAGGCACCCGCAAAAACACAATTAGCCTTCGGTTTCTAATGGGCCAGTTAACAGATTCCCCGCTATGAGGCACATAGGGCTGAGACCACTTCTAAACGAATACGAAAAACATTGACACAAAGATATTGTCAAGACAAGATAATTTTGGCCCAGGCAACGTTTATAGGGAGGTGACATGGCGTCCACATGAACAGACAGGCAACTAGATAGGTTAAGATTGGGGCCAGGGTTTAGGTTGATGTTAAGGCTGGTGTTATGTTGAGGACACGGGAATCTGTATTCTTGCTGGAATTGTGCTTACGGCCAGCCTTGGGCGTGGCCTTCCTATTTCCGTGTTGTGTTTAGGCGGCCATGCAAATCATCCTTACCGATGTTTGTCTTTGCAGGACTACTAGAAAAGCCGCCTTAATGCTGACCGAAGTGGGACTTAGGACGGAAGTAGGTCAGATGTTGGGCAGATTGAAGGACTTGGGGTTGACTGGCAAAAAAACCTTCGAAAGCTAGGTTGCGAAAAGAAGGCATTTTCAATGCCTTCTTTTCTTTCCTTTACTCGAGGTTTTAGAGTTGCTAAAACTGTATATTGTTTAGAGGCAGCTGAACTTACCGAGCAGATCGCGTTCAGTTGTTCGAATTTCGAAGCCCTGGGTAGTGACAGAGTCTTGATGGCTTCGCACTGAATGGTTCAAAGAAAGAGTGTTAAACTGCATCTTAGGAATCAAGGTTTTAACCAGATAAAATAACAAACTAGCAAAACAGTATGCAGGCAACTGCGCTTACAGAATAAACTCGCGACCTAGGATAATGCAATCCATATAGAGCACGGAAACGACTTGCAAGGGGTGGAAGACATTTATTTTTTTGTGAAAAGCCAATAGAATATCATATATGTATTCAATGGCAGATAGGCGTGCACCGATCGGTTACAGGACACGCGTCCCGTTTGTGCCTTCGGGCTGACTCTCGTGCATCGCTAGTAGCCGCACAGCAGCTGCGCATACCAATTCGTTGGCTTCCCGAAACAAACAAACGCCGCATGGATAGCAAAGGCGAAGAACAGGCAACCAAATACCAGACTGAAGTCGGGCAATTCCTAATTGTAGAACGGAGGGACGACTGAAAATTCGGGTAGATGGATACAGTCTATTTCGGGCTTATTCTGCCTTAATTCAGCCTTAATTCAGCCAAACATAAGACTGACTACCAGCTGGGACTGGAAACACAAAAATGCGCTCGAGTACAGCTCAGACAGTCCACACACTGGGTTTAGCAGATGGGCGATAAGCACTTTAATGAATCGAAGTTCATCAGTGCCTCGTCCCCTGTCATACTCTGTCGCTGTAGAGGGGAACGGCGGATAAGGAAGGTAGGTAGGTTGACATGGAAATGGCGGGTACCATGGGCGATGCTTGTCACAACATGCATTGTAATGGATATAGCAAAGTTAACTGCGGAGATCAGAGCAGAGTCAATGAAAACTTTTGCGCGAAAAGCGACA